GATCACCATGGCGTAGGCGTTGTTTACACTCTCTATCTTCCTTTAAACTAAGAGATTAAAATCACTTCATATCTTTCTTTTCACGAACTAATTCTATCTTCCTGTACTATATTCTCATATGCAATCTTTCTTTTATATATTACAACCATTGACTTAGCCATTCCTATGAATCCGTTGTTTATCTTGCTGTGCTAATGCGATATGGACCGATGCATATATGTGCCTGGCCCGACGTTGTAGCTGACTGACTGATAGCGTGTGTCACCCATAACGTTTCCGTTCTTCAAAAAGTACTGAATCTGAATGTTGTCATTAAATTTCACACTCCTAGCATATAGCATAATGAACAAAAGAATAGTCTTACTCTTACTGCTGTAACGGCCATGATTATAAGATAAGCTGAAGAATAGAATGTAACGAGGGTTATGAAATTCTAGGTTTAAATGTCCTATCATATTACAGCAAATTCAAAGGCTTTTCGGGGTGGGGGTTGAGTTTCCAAGGTCAGACGAGTGATTGGTTGGAGACAATTACTGATGCGCGACTGACGAAAAACTGGTTCGTCATTGAAAACGAAACCTTCCTGATGTTTCAACCAACCTAGAGTCGGCGAGAGGAAGCGTCTGTCATTCCCGAGATGAATTTGGGACGCACAGTAATGCGAAAATCATGGTCACACAAGTGCTTGCACATTCCGCCACTTTTCAGATTCAGATTTGTGTAGTAAGGAGAGAAGGCCTACGGCCTATGTTATTCCTTTTCTAGTATGCTTCTGTGAGTGTCCAGTCTTCTCTTGAAAGAGTCAATTGAAGGTGCGGACACCACTGCTTCAGGCAGCAGGTTCCAAGTATTGATGACTCGGTGTGAAAACCTGTATGCCACGGGTATTTTGTTCGTTCTTGGCTTTTCTACTCGCCTGCTATGTCCTCTGAGGTGTCCCGATCTAGTGGGAAGAAAGAGAGAGAATAAGTTAGGTCCGAAATCATTTCTCAGTATTCTGTACATCAATATTAGATCTCCCCTTAGTCTGCGATAGGACAGAGTAAAGAGGTTCAGTTTTTCAAGCCGCTCTTTATATGATAAACCTCGGAGTTCCGGAATTGCACGCGTAGCTGCCCTCTGTACCTTTTCTATTATGTCCGAGTCACCTTTAAACAGGGGCTTGCAGCCTGAACACAGTTCTCTAACTTAGTTCTCACTAAGGATGTGTATAATGTGGTGAACATGGTAGTGTCAAGCTTAGTGAATGTCCTTTTTAAAGCCCAGAGGGTTCGAAACCCCTTAACTGCGACCTCCCGGCAATGGGCCGTCGTCTTAAGATCATTGCTCACTGTCACCCCTAGGTCCTTATGAGACCGGACTACGGGTAATGACACATCCCCTATGTTGTACGTATTAACCTTTGAATCCCCCAAGTGCATGTAGACACACTTTTCCGAGTTGATAGGCATTAGCCACTCTTTAGACCAGTTTATCATATTATTTAAGTCCGCCTGAAGAGTAAATGCGTCTTTGTCTCCAGTTATTACTCGCCAAATTTTTACATCGTCAGCGTATAATAACATTGGAGACTGTACTATACTTGTAAGATCATTAACGTACATTATAAAAAGTAAAGGACCTAAGACGGAACCTTGGGGTACTCCACTAAGTACTGGTCTCCAGATGGAGCACTTGGAATTTATTCTTACTTTTTGCCTACGACCTACTAGGAAATCCTTAATCCATTTTAAAAGAGGTCCGGCAATACCAAGGTTTGTCAACTTCAATAGCAGCCTATTAGTTGGCACCTTGTCAAAAGCCTTACTGAAGTCTATGTAGACAACATCCACTGAGTTTCCGTTGTCTAGCGCATTAATCCAGAGCTCCCTAGCTATAAGGAGGTTCGTTGTACAGGATAGACCCTTTCTAAAACCATGTTGTTCCATGTTCAGCAAGTTATTGGTTTCCATAAATGCTGTTATGGTCCGTTTGATTATTCTTTCCAGTATTTTAATTACAACACTGGTGAGGCTTACGGGTCTGTAATTTGATGGAACTTGTCTTGGTCCTGTTTTATGTATGGGAGTGACGATTGCGTCCTTCCAGTCCATAGGTAACACACCTTGGTCAAGTGACATTTTGAATATCACAGTCAGTGGGGCTGCGATATATTGGGCAATATGTCTCAAGATTTTAGGGTGTAGTTCATCTGGTCCTGTTGACTTCTCCATGTTTAGGGTGCTAAGAGCCTTAAGCACATCGTTTTGGTCGAAGTCCACGGTGAGCAGCTGGTTTGTTGACTCTGTAATTGGGTCTGGTTCTTTCTCTAGAGGAGGTTCCTGAGTGAAAACTGCCCCAAAGTAGTCAGCCATAACCTCAGCTTTTTCCTGATCTTCCTCTATCATTTCAGATTCACTTCCTACTTTAATTAGGTTGGGAATCCAATGATGAATCCTTGTTCTGTAGTTTATGTACGAGAATATCCTCTTGGGCTGCTTGAGTGCAGATTCTGCCAGCTGCATTTCATATTTTCTTTGCGCTTCCCGAATTTTAGTTATACACTCGTTTCTTATCGATCTGTAGCGTTCCATCGTACCCGCTGTGCCAAGGCGGATGGCAACATCCCAGCATTTCTTCTTTTGTCTTAGTAAGCGTCGAATATCCCGCCCTATCCAGGGATGTCCGTGCTTCTTTGTTGTTAAGACTTAAAACCAATCCCATTTCTCGTTCAAAATAGCAGTTCAACGTAAACCACGTTTGCCTAGAGGAACAGTGACCGATAAATGTGCATGATACTATGATCGGACCGTATTGGTTGTACCGGATTTAGTGAACTCTGACGAAATTAAGGTGTTCCCACAAGGCGGTATTTACTGACAACGGAAGGAACGATCTACACAGTCGCCTCCAAAAATGTCACTCTAGAAATTTTCACGTCCCGCATCAAAAGCTTTGACGTACAGATGCTTTTTAGATGAGACTCTAGATTGTTGTGTTTTCTCCGGAACACAGAGTCGAGAAAGAACCGTCAGCTTCATGTGACCTAATCAATAGAAATAACCATCGAGACATGGTTCTCATATATTTAGGTTTTTGATTGCTACATCATGTAGTCTTAAAATCAAAAACAGAGCAGGCTTATATATAATAGAATCAAATGGACAATTTCCTGTGCACTGTCCAACTAGAGAGGACATTAAGGACAGGAGTCACTTGTAAGTGCAAACCAGCTGATTTAGTTACGTGCGCTTATTGTAGTAAATGATTAGTGTGACACGATTGAGAACCATTCGCAGCTGTGAAAATACGTTTACTCTTTACTTTTCCACCTTTAGATCACTAACCTTGACTGTTCATCGCCATAAACATCTTCGCAGATATGTCCTATCCGTAATCCCTTCTAAACCCAGTAATCAAGCTACTACTTGTGTATTGATGTGGTATTGCAACTTGAACAGATGCACACATTTTCCATGTCCCAAACTGAACATGACTGACTGGGAAACGTTCTCAAGTCAAATATGTAGACCATTGATATGACCACTCGGAAATGATAGCGGCAACATAAACATTGGTATTTTAGGTTTATGTGAGCGAGATGTAGACAGTTCTAAAGAGTATGACAAACTTAAAGCGATTACCGTTGAGTGAGAATTTGGGATCATTGGCAGACACCATTGTTTGTTTTTCACACTTTCCAATGGAGTTAACATACTTTTTCTCATCAGGCATATTTAAGATTTGCATATATGATATTCATGTTTTCAACATGACTGAACGGAACTGCACTCAAGTTAATACCGAGGACATCTGAATCATAAGTATGAAGACTATTCATCACTGTATTTATAGATTCTAATGATTCATTTGCTAATGACAGAAATTGTTAATCCGGTTCCGATCAATATTCGTTCGTCAATAAACTACTAAGTGAAATCTGGACATTTATATGGTCTCAACAGCTTATTTTGCGTACCAAGTAGTATTCTGTGTACCGAGGACTCTCTCAGCATACCAGGAGTACCTCTCACGAACTCCGCATCATGCCGTCTCTTCGCATCACCAGTTAGTATATTTCAAGTCAGTATTAATCTGTTTCCCAGTGACGTTAATCAAATAATTTATCCTAAAATTTTAACCCGAATATTCGGGAACACTAGCGCTTGTAGTTATAATTTGGCGTCACAAGATAATGTCTTCCTGCCTATACGGCACGACTGTTTTATACAATGTTTCACGAAATTGGTAGTTCTCGGACAGAAAATTGGTTGGTATTCTACATGTGTTTACTAAGTTTTTTCTTCTATTGAAATGCTTCACATTCTTGTTTAGCAATTGTAAGGGTATGAAACTAGTCAATCTAGTTCCTATCTACAAAAAATGAAACTTCTACACAATGAAATGAAATCATTAGTTTTAAATAAGAAAATGTTTAGAAGTACTGAAAACTCGAGACTATGGATTCTCGAATAAATAAACAATGTTCCAGAAGTGTGAACGTGACTATTTAATTTGCCCTAAGATAAGCAACCAGGTTTATTGGAGTTTAGGTGGAGCGAAAACTAATCACTGAAAAAACTGGGACTTGATATGCTTCTAAGTAGGATTACTTTTAAGAAGTAGCACAAAGGAAGGTGTTTCTGTTTTCCACTGAATCTGTCACTTTCATTTCGTACGATATGATGGATGTGTAAGTTTTGACAAATAAGACAAGGGACCTTTAGCAAGATTTCGTTTGAAGTCTGAATACATACACTTTTAGTTCAAACAATATTTATCCACAATGTGTACTTCACAAGTATCTCAGACTAGGTCGGTAGAGATCAATTTTTACAACTGCACAACCTGGTTTTGAGCTGGTCTATAATGCTGACATAGTTAGCTAATTGGTTATACCAGTAAGAAATAATAATTTGATTGAAAACAGATCTTAAGGAAAATTAAAAGCTTGAGTTAGACTTTTATATATACTATTGTGTGTAAAAAGTAAATAAATCATTAAAAATATGAACACATTATTAGATGACAACATATTTTTGGAGTATATGACGAGCCATTGATGGATTCCCATTAGTTCGATACAAAAGAGCTAAATTGAAAGCAGCTTCTTTATACAGATTAGTAAGCTAATAAAATAAACCAAAAGTGAAAGAATAATAAATGCAGTCAGAAGATACGTATGACAAGAGTTTTTAAACTAAAACAATATACGAATATAGGTTAAGTTAATCAACCTCTGCAATAATAACAATAGTGTATATTCAGAGAAAAGAAAGCAGGACTCACAGACTTCTCTTCAGGATTGTTTCCAATAGGCTCCATATCAAGGACTTTTTCATAATAGTGAATAGCCATATGAGTTATTGCTGAATTAAAGAAAAGTGCCTATTTAGTACAGTACCGATGATAGTTAACTACATGCTCAATTACGAAAATGTCAACCATAGAATATACCACAGAAAGACGAGGTAGGAAAACTAATATCGTTTTTACAAACTAAGCTCATATCCATCCGTTAATAAATGTTAAGTTTAACAAAAAATAATGAATCTGAAAGTTGTTCTCTCGTGAATTTTCCCTGCAAATGTTTACAAAAGATGTGGTCTGATTAACATATTAATATGCTTGTCAATGACAGACAAAGAAGAGATATAAAAATAAATTTCTATTTAACAAGCCATATAAGATAAACACTATAACCTGCTTCAATTTGACTCCTTGATATCCACAAATAACATAAAAATCACTGTTTGGAAGAACTTTGTTTAGTAGATACAAATATCTATTTTACATTTAGTTTTGAACTAAACAAAACAGAGATTAAAATAACTCAAGCCGAAACATACACAAACTATATTAAGCATGCGTTAGTAAAATGTACCTTCGAACAACCTCATTTTAAAATGTTTCGTTAGAAAACAGATAATGATGATGGAGACGCTCCTGCTTAAACCTTTGTTAGAAACAAAAGTAGACGCCCAAAAAACTATGAAAAGTGTACAGATTAAAAACTTGTATTAATATCCACGATAATTTCAGTCGGAAAAGTATGAGTCACTTTAAACTTTAATTACATTTCCCTATTTTTACTATTGGGTGAATAAAATTGTTAGGACTATGAACCGTTGTCCTAGTCATATAGTACCCAGTCATAAAATCAAAGATTCTAATTTGTATGTGACCTAACAATAGAACTACACTCTATAGCTGTATAGGGGATTAAGGAATTTTGAATTAAGAAATTATAAATGGCTGCAAGAATATCAACAACCATGTGAAATAAAAATAAACAATAGGAGATATAACTTAAAATGATTTTATGGTGAAATCATACATCAATAAAATGCTTAATTTTTTGGTTACTTATGGTGAAACTATCACAAAAATAATGAGACAACTGATGAAGGGTGAAAATGGTATTCATGTAGCCGAATGAAAAAAGATCACTAATTTAATCTTAAAACGTTTATGTGTCCAAGTAAAGGACATTACAACCAATGAGCAAAAGCCTCAATTCCTTCTAATAAAAAAAAGCTACAAAAGAGCGTTCTATAATCCATCAGATTACCATCAGTCCGTTGACTGAGAAAACGAAGGACATCACCACGGGGAATGATACTATCGTTTGATGAAGATATGTATTCAAGTTAGGATTTTTGAAAATAGAATGCCAGTAAACTTACAAAGTTGATGACAAGCACGTGCGATATTGTAGTAAACCTCCTGGCAATCACCACGTAAACGTTTATATTCCCCAAGAAAACCAACAGCCTTAAATAAATAAATAAGGTATAATGATATGACAAAAATGGAATATTTAGAAAAATATCAAACTATGTATATTAGGAGTCGTTACTACAAGATGATAAGTTTACAGACATTCAAAAAGGGAAGTCAAATACCGTTGTAACTCCATAGGACGTCTGAGTGAGCAGTAGAACGTTTTTTATGTCACTGACTCATGACGTAAGATATCACTTCATATAAATCTTAATTTCCTCTATAGGGAAGACCTTCATGATCACAACTGAATTATTATGGCTATCAGAAACAGTTTACGCAAACTGCTCTCTAAAAAAGTTACATCCAGATAACAAAACTATTTTATTCACTACTAGCGTTATTCCATTGTAACTGGATATGTAAGTGAAATAATTTTCGAAGAGTACTGATGTAATCCTCAATTTTTTTTTAGATTACACTAACACGGCTACCGATCACGTAATGTATTATGTTTTTAAGAGTAGAAAGGAAACTTACCTGTAAAACAGCAAGATGACGTGAACCAATGTGTTTTTGCATGGACATACTTAGAAAGCCAACAGCGAGTAATAAAGTAAGAAGTGCATCGTCCGGAAATTTTTCTCTCATATTGATTAGTCGGGCTTTCAGTTAAAAATTAGGAAAATAGTACGGTATGGAATGAGATTCGATGGTCATAACACATATCAGTCAATACAAAGTTAACATATGATTAACAGTAAGTAATGTATCATCAAAAGAGAAGACCAATTATGAAGCGAAAACTACCTGTGTAATTCTGTAGCACAGAGATTCAAAATCCATTCACTGGGCCACATGATAAAAATGAATACACAGGAATTAGCATTGAAAATTATACACGCACTATATACAACGTGTATCCTAAAGTTTGTTATCCTTATGTGAATATACAAAATTTATCCGTGTGAAATACACCAAAACTAAATAGTTCATGAATTTGGATTCCATTGCATCTAAGCAGCGTGATTAGCAGATAAGTTATGTGTGGTTTGTAAACAGCGAATAAAGCTTTACACAATTACTGATTTGAACACTATTTTTAAAAAATGAAAACGGATTACTTTGATATACACCCAACATTACAGAATATTTATGTGATGAATGTTAGACATCAAGAAAAAAAACAACTTATGAGATTATTGTCATCGATGATGACTTGGTCACAATATATCTGATTAATACAAATAATCCTTTCAAACTAGCACATCTAGCCAGAGAGACATAGATCGAATAATGGAATCGAAGTAAGTAGAAGTAGTTACTACAATAAATAATACGTTGTTCTTTTATTAAAGCTGTGAATCCTCATCAGATGAATCGACTTGAATATGTACTAGTTTAACCACCTCCAACCTCGACCAAGAATGATGTGATGTGTGAAAGCAGCTAAACTAAGAAACAGTATTAGTCCATATAGTCACTGACTGTTGGTCTGAGCTGTGTGAAGTTTAGACTAACTGGTCGGGTTACAAGCAATAATCGTGATCAATGACTGCAGATATTTCGATGGAACTAGAGTTTGAATATCCGTTAAGGATGATGAATACTACATCTGGAAAGACATACATTTTAAAATTTACATATTGGTTTATAATAAACTTTATTCCTGATTAAGAATATGTTTTCGCTTGTATCGAAGTATTCAGTATGAAGTTACTTGGTTTATCTTAGTTGTGTTCAGAAGTTCACTGTGATTTTGTGCAGTGACAAAAATTCTGTTTGATAAACTTAGTGATTAAGAATCATTGAGTAATCGGGATGTAATTGGATTAACTATTATTTTGACTCGTTCAGAACTAAACTTGCAAATTTCATCTCGCTATATAGATGTGATGCGGCAACTTGAACTAATGCACATTTGTGTCAGGTTCTAGGTTAATTATGACTGAATTATTAAAGTCACAGAATTAAGTCCAAAACGACGGAGCGCTGGGTAACCTTTCTCAATTTTGTATTTAAATGCATCTACAATAACATACTAAATCAATAAGTCATGAATAATGGTACGATATTTCGCATTATAATGCTTCACACAGATAACTTACATCCATTCATCTTTCCGATTTTTGACTACAAAAAACGAGCCAAAGATAGTTTACTTAAACAGACTATTCGTTCTAATTAAGATCACGAGCCGATCAATGTTAGACTACCACTAAAAACCTGGAAGCACTGAACGGCCGTTTCGTCCTAGTATGGGACTCCAGAACAGTACCCATACACGATACTACACGCGGGATTCGAACCCAGAACTCTCGGTCTCGTGCGATGATCTCAATCAAAGCACAACAATCTCCACAACCCTATACTGATAAAACTATCTGTTGTTGAATCAAGAGAAGACTAATGACCATCGATTCTTTAGTGAAGATAACCAGTAAAGAAATAACGCCAGAAAATCAACAAACAAAGCAAAAAATAACAATCACAACAACAATGAAAGTCGACCATTTAATGGAAATAAGTAGAATAAGAAGACTTGCCAATAGCATAACGATATGAACCTCGAACCAAAGTGTCACTACTAGCAATAGTACCGATAGCCAAATTCAAACTATCCTGAAAAGCATAGAACAATAAATATGTATGACGGAAAAAATTCAAACCGCACTCAAGAGAATTGGTACGCTATTTATGATAGGCTCAACGGTAATCGCTTACCTAAACAAAACGATAACGAGAGTAATATTAGTGGTAGTAGTGTACCTTGTCTCACACATGTATATTATTCAGTTTATGGTGTAATCATCTAGTACTTAGTCTTGATCAAATTATACGAACCAAAGTGTTGGGATAGTCATAAAATAGATAAAAGAACATTAAAATGCGAAGAAAATAACGTTGAAATCTTGTCGACATTTAGTAGTAAGTCCTGTGAGATAAGCCTACTTTAATGTGAATACGCTTGTGAGCCTTAGAAATACAAACCAACGCTGATCTAAAATATAACGAAACTGTGAAACCGTCAGTAAATTTTGATAATGAACTTTCCAGTCTACAATTTCATATAATTAATATTGAGACATAACACTAAGATTTGTTTGTATTTCTAATAAAATATATATAATAAATTATTCCGTTAATTGCATTTCGATAAAATGATAAGCAATCAAGATATCATTTATTGTGTGAGTCCAGTATGGTTAATGCGTAACAAGTCAGTTGAACACTAGATTCATTTACAAAAAACCTACTTTAGTAACTAAACGATCCAAAAATCTACAATGTTTAAAATCACGTGAAAGAGTGATTGCCAGATTCATCACATTCCAATACTGGTTATATTCACTCCACTGAAAAAGAATTAAATTTATGTAAAACTCGTGAAAAAATATCACTGGTTTCAGAATTCATTTAAAGTTTGACGATAAAATAAATAAATACAAACATGCAAACAAATGAAGTTCGCCAAAATTATAATCATAATAAGTTACTGAATCATAATTATTTCAACATGTGTACGTTAAATAGTTATCTATCCCTAGTAATAGAAAAGTCGTAAATTATAGCCTTCATTACATATCAATGGTACTGTTTTGGGGACGTTAGATCCTCAGAACTCATTTGGTAAATGCCTTAATTTTGTAATTTTATTTTGGAAATTTAAATTTCCTTGTTTTCACCTTCATGTCGTAATTCCCACTTGAGAGAATCTTTAACGCCATTGGTCTGTTGTGTATTTTTAGTATGCTATTTTTGCTACGCTGTTACTATTCACTCGTGCTTCTGGCTTACGGAATATACTTTCCCTTTCCAAGCTTGGACTTCTTCCTCTATTTAGTGAGGCTGGGACGCATAAAATAGCTAGCTTATTGGTCTACGGTCACAAGTCTTTGTTTCGTTCGCATACTAAGTGAACTCGTAATAGCTTCAAACCTAGTATACTGTAAGCCTAAAATGTTGGGAGTCTTTGTAGAATAGTTAAAAGGAAATAAGTATACTTCTGTTACTGTTATGTCCCGATAAACATAATGAATGGTAACTTTTGTGATCCATTTATGTATACTATACGTACATTTTTATCGTATAATTGTTGAATAACTAAACTATACATATTCATGTCCTTCGTATTATGAGCTTTATTTTGACCTATGAACTATTGTTATACGATTTACCGTTCTTGAATTATACCCTGTATATTAATCACTACCTCCCACGTTCACAGCCACATTTAGCCAAATATTGTACAAATGTTGCTTCCTATTTTATGGTACGATGTGGTCTGTCTGGTTGGTACGTAAACCCAGTATACTTGAAATAGATGATTCATATTGCAGAGGCTGAGACTGGTGTTCTGGACTTAACTGGCTGGGCTAGGCATGAAGTAGGGCCAATAGGCACTCTAGACTGCTCGTACGTGTTTCATGCGTCACTGGTGCGACCGATAATTCACTGCTCTCTAATTGGCGATATCGTTACGTTATACATTAGCAAGGCACTCAGGCCGCAAGTTATAACAGTTACACAGCAAAATACTGTGAATAAAACATTCGTGTGAGTGAATGAACTACGTTTGGTTGATTATCAGTTTGAAAAATACATGTATCAAGTTATTTTAAGCAGAGATGGATGATGGGTAGCAATGAAGCCCAGGACATATCTTTTGTCCTAACCGGGACTCGACACCTGGATATACCTGCATCCCAGATCTGCTGATACCAGCTAAAATGTTGATATTTTGATAGTGGTTTGCTTCATTCTGTGTTATCATTGATTATTATAACAAATAAAAGCTCGCTAGAAAAAAAAGAAAGTCATTTATTACAGTTAACTACAGTTCAAATCCCTTTTAATATATCAAGTTTTCAAATCAACAGAATGATTACAGCTTTTCACCATACACATTTAATTTATAGTCTACTTCGATTCGCTGGATAGGACTGTTCTCTGGGAGTCTATGGGAGAAGGGTTTGTTTGAGGAGTTTATTAAATTCTTGAAAGTTCTATACACAAATACCTATTTTTATTGTTTCGTTCAAGCAATGGGGTTATACAGAGTTGCTCAATCTTACCATCCCTCTTCAACTACGCCACTGATGACATTCTGGAAACAGCTCTGATGGATGTAGGTAATGGTGGTGTGAATCTGTTGCATGGAGACACAATTTTCGACCCTGAGTATCAGGATGATATTGTCTTACTGTGTGGTGATCCCCAAACCAATCATTCCCAGTAGGTATGGTATGTTCTTCGCACCTTCCAAGTGAAAAGTACTTCTACAAGACTGTTAAGATCCTGATCCTGAAGGCGCCCTGGATAGCAAGCAGACAAAGACAGTTGAGAAGTTCGTGTATCTGAATAAATGACTAAGTGCTGGTGCGGGCGTACAGTGAAAGCCAAAAAGACCTATGCCAATCTGGGCCATCTTTGGCGCATTACTGATGCTAGTCCGGATGTAAAAGGCCAGTGAGAGCAATTTTGTTCTATGCTTGTGAAACTTCGCCTCATCGAGCTGAGAATATTAGACGACTTTCTGTGTTTGGGGTCCTGTAGATGGTGCAACACAATGGCCTGAGACACTAACAGAAACGGCTCAGGATACAAGCCAGTGGCGATCCTGGTGTAACTTTTTCTACTTTCTTTATGGAAGTGAAAGTAATCTTTCTAACTAAAAGAATTATTTTTGGTTATCTTTCCTGACTGAACTGCTTCAACCATTAATATAATTATTATTACTTCACCACCATACAGTAGTTTCTATTCATTTTTGTTATTTTATTATATTCACTTTCCTTTCTCCATCTCTTTGCAACTTCATCTTTATTGTGGGGCGCACATATATTTTGGTTCCCACTTGTTCCAGTGTTTATGTGTTTAAACAAATAAATAATAGCTGACAAGGCTTAAAAGATAATTGCTTTTCCATACGGCGTTGAAATTATAACACATTACCCCTTAAAGATGATGACTGAATTTCGAAAAGCCTGAATTGTAGAAGCGTTGGAAACGAGAGCATAAAGATTATCAGCTGGTCTCTAATGTCATTTAGATGTAATTTTAGCTGTAAAATGTTGTACTTCATGGCTGCTGCTAATAACAACAGCTTGGAAATGATTAGCGATTTAGTCTGGTAGATCAAACGGTAGAGCAACAGGTCAGTAACGTTTAGATCGCTGGTTATGATTTTCCGAAGTATTAATTTACATTATTGCAGATAGTTTGATTATTGATTTCCTAAACTGTACATTCCTTATGTTTGATGAAGATTATCCTCACTGGGAATACTTCCTACCATCGCTAATGAATATGTTCTAAACAGGGAAATACTGCAAAAACATACGTTTTAGACGATTACGTATATATTATAACTGACCTGCTTTTGAATTTTTCGTAATTCCAAAAATGCTGGCGTGCCATGACGTGCAATAAGTGAAGAACTAATTAAAAGATGACTTGCAGCTAACCGACGTAGATCATTGCCTTGAACATGAGGTAATAAAGAAGCCCATGCAGTAGCTGTTTCCAATTGGGGCAATGATTTTGGCAAACGAGCACGTAACACATCCACAACACGCAAAAATAATCCCCAAATATCTGAGCTGCTTACACCATTTGTTTCTGTAGTTGAACGTTCAGCGTCTATCTGGTTAGATAATGTATCAGTCAATGCTGGAGCAACAGAAGCTAGTCGGTCGATCACTAATTTTCGATGCTGTTCACTATCAAGAGTTAAGGCAACTTTAGAAAGAAGGTAACGAAAGATAAACAAGAAAAATTATTCACCATTAACATTATCCTCATTAGATTTCATACAGATTTACATAAACTCAATTTTAAATGATCTGAGAGCAATATTCTCTCTGTAGTCCATAAACAGTGTGAATGTTTCGATGAAAATAGATAAAACGGTTTACTTATTAGTTATTAAGACAGTGTTGTTGCACAGACAAATGAAGAAAAATCAAAATAAGTGGTTGTTTTTTGTTGTTATTTATACACAGAATATATCTTAATTTATAGATAAAACTCTTGGACAAGGTAATGGTGGAATAAGTACAACACGAAGTATCCAGGTAACAAAAAGTACCGGCATCTCATAAGCAAACCTTACACAGCGCAGTATAACGATATTAATTAAGAATCCAATCTAAATGAAATGAAACAAAATAAAATGAACTGTTCAGTCAACTGTTTCCAATGTAATCATGCTACAGAACATCAAAGATAAAGTTTAAGTGTATAGAAAGAAATACTCTAATTCCAGGAGCATAGAGAAACGAATAACAAATCTACAGTAGATAGCATAATACTATAATTTAGATCGTTTTACTTCTCAATGTGAATAATTGTAGCAGCAAATTCTAATTCAAACTATAACTAATTACGATTGTCTAAAAGATGAAGGTTAAACACTTTGATAAATATTACGCATCTGCTTATGTACAAAGTAAACACAGTCAGGCTGAAAGATTTATTTGACTTTAAATTTAATAAATCTTACTAGAACGTTTGTAGCTGGATTCTTAGACCCTTACTATATTTGCAGACTAATTCTACCCACTAACTCAAGCAACAGAAAAAGGGACGTATAAGTACATCAAATTGTTTTCATTTATAGTCTTCGAGACAATGTTGATATAGTAACAGAAGTAGTTGATCAATCAAAATTTGACACATAATCTTTTATTTTTCCAAGCATTTCTGAGAAGCTTCTATTTAGTGCCGATTAGATGAAACGTTTTCAAATTTTTCGAGCATATAGAGACTCTACCGAGGAACATTTTCCGGTTCTCAACAAAATTATATAAGTAATATATGTGAGCGTATTATTCGAAACAGTATAAATCCCCCTATTTTACTTTAATATTCAGTAGCCTATCAAGGTTAAATCATTCAGTTGTGGATTTAAATTCACTTGAACAGGTAATTAGTCCTTCGGTTACGGTGTGCAAATCCGTTTACATTAATGAAGGGTACGAAACTATATTCAGTAAAAATGTCTACAACTACCCATAGTCTGCACTTCAATTTGTCGTATTTATTGATTCCATCCTCATTATTTCTTGAATAATAAAACATAAGAAGATAATTACTTATAATATCATGACAAACTGTGTACATTTCAATCTCATCGCGATATATAACATAGAGAAAACAGGATATTTTTAAAGCTGGATCAATAATAAAAGTGAAAAGAGAAATTTGTTAAATTTTGTAATACATCTGATTTTAACAAATGACATTTACAAGTAAAAATATGGGAAATAGGCTATTGATTCAATAAAAAATTTACTTACGTTGAGTAAATCTAGGTCCGCAAACACGTGTCACATCACTAAACAGCAAAGCCCAAGCTTCTTCTAAAAATGAATCTACACTTTCTGGTGTATCAAGCATTCGACAACGTTCGTAGGCTAATCTGTATGCCACATGATCACGGGAGACAAGGTTAGCAGATGCATCGAGCCAGTCGCTATCTAGACAAACTTTCTCAACAGAACATTCATCACTATCGATGTCACCAACAACTGAAGTTTTTCGTAAGTCAGAAGAAGCAAATGATCTAACAGTTGATCTGTGATTGGATTTCAATGGAGATTTTTCTCTTTTCTGTACAATTAAATCACACTGTTCGGTCAAAGATATTTCGGGTTTAACACCTTTCTGAACTAAATTTGAGGGATTTAAGAACTAAATATTTAGAGAAACAAAAAAGATAAAATTGATATTATAACCAGAAATAATAAACATAAACATATCATTACCAAAATCTCATTTCTTAAAGATTCAGAGATTCAATACAGACAACGTAAGTGAAAAACTAACATATGCACATTTCAAAAACAAAAAATAAATGCATTTACGAATAAGTAAAGATATAACTCAATAAAGTTCCAAACCCCTTGCGAGTAAATATCGCTCCAAGGTCTGGATAAAGGAGGAGGGTAGAAAACAACCTTGCTGAAAACCTTAACCAATAGGATCATTTAAACTGTGACCTGGTAGTTGGAACGATCTTCATTTAGAAGAATCATGACGCCTTATGGTAAAAGCTGAGATCCTTTGGATATTACGAGGCCGATGCCCCTTCTAACAACTAGAGCAACAATTACGTTAGGTACATGATCTTGTGGACGAAACTAAATTATAAGTAACTTCTAAAACTAATTATGGACTGTTTATATATATATATATATATATATATATATATATTCTTATTACATAACTATTGAATAACTAGATTACATGTATTTAAATTTCTCTTGTAGGCTTTCGTTTGACCTATTGGCGACTATTACTACAGTCTTTCACGCTAACATGGAATGAGAGAAAGGAACAAGAATAGTGAAAGACTTAGAGATTTATGTGCTTTCAACAACATGGTTATGGGAGACACTAACACTAACTTCAATCTGCCAGGAGTTGCTGACCTGCAAGAAACACCATCATTAAGAATGGTCCCCTATCGAGACCCAGGACAAGAAAACAGCAGCTAACAACAGTCGAACAAGAGCAGAGAAGGCCATGGCACAGACCGAGTAGACACAAGCAAATAGGAAAATGAAGAGCAGCATTAGAGGTGACAGGCTTGATACATGGAAAACTTAGCAAGAACGGTGGAAAAAGATCCAAGATAAGGAAATATGAGACAACGAATAAACTAGCAGGGAAATGTGGTGGACCACAGTAACAAATCCAGAACAAAGAATGTAAGCCAATCACTGAGTTCAAAGAACAGCGGAACAGATGGGTAGGATACTTCGAAGAAATATGGGGAAACCGTCAGGGGAAATATACTAAAGCAGAGAGACCGGTCAAGGACAAAGAAGTCAAGCCAATCACTGGGATTCAAGAATAGAGGACCAGATGAGTGGAACACTTCGAGGATTAACAAGGAGGATGTGATGCATATGGTAAGTGATAAGTCTTGTCGATTGAACGCTATATTCGATTCCTAAGCTATTCGGGTAACCCGCAAGCTAGAACTACACAGCGACTTGAACACCAAAAAGAAGACGCAAAGTATGAGGGAAAATACTTTACTCCAAGGTTCGTTCTTGTACAGAAAATCATGGGTATTTATAGATGTTAGGGTTTGTTAAATCAACATCATATTTCGGCCAATCAGTTAGCGACATATTATGCTACTGACCAATAGTAGCACGCCACGTTGGAATTCTAGAATGCTCCATCGTGCTCTGATTGGCAAGGACTCTTCGGCTCCTTTTGGGCCTCTGGAGGCTCCGTTGAAGTTCTCCGAAAGCCGACTGAACAGAAGGGCACAAATTGGCAAAGCAAAGATAGCACTCCTGTAATTGAAGAACATCTCGGACTCGAAACAACTGTCAACCAACATCAAAGTCAGAACGTAAAGACAGTTTTATTCTACTGAACTTAAACGTGGAGAACTACTACAGCCATCCTCAAAAAAGTACATGTATTTATAAACAGTTTTCTACGCAAGATACTCCACATCCACTGGACAGATACGATTAGCAAAAACCTAATGTGGTAGAGAACAAACTAACTCCTAGGTGAAGAGAGAATTACGAAAAGACGATGGAGGTGGGTATGACATACAACGAGGAATTCATCAAACCGCATCACGAGGCTAGCCCTAACTTGGAATCCTGAAGACAAAAGAAAAAGATGGAATTTAATGTAGACATCAAAAGAATGAATAGCAGTTGGAAACAAATGGGAAGGAGAGCCCAGGACAGAGTTAGTCGGCGACCTATGTACCACTAGGGGTAACAGGCGTAATTAAGTTAATAACCACTTAATATAAAATTGAAAACATCCATTTGCGCAATTTATAAATCGTATGAATAAATATTTCTCGAAACTTACTTTTAAAGCCTCCTGATTCCTACCAAGGCGTCTAAGAAGATTTACAAGACCCAGACGTGCGCCGGTATGCCGAGGATCAAGATTTTCTATGACATGGCGATAGGCTTTGATGGCACTTTCTGTTTCACCTGCTTCTAAATAACATTCAGCCAGTAATGTCCAAACTTGTACCAACTGATAGAAATAAATAAAATTAAAACCAAAGTATGGAATAGTAAATTCCCTAATATTACCGAAATAATCTGGAGATCTAAGAAACAGATTGATATATGGCTAGAGAAATACAATTAGCGTTTTCCACACGTCAAATGATCACTCCGAATTTGAAAGATAAACTGCCTAGACTAGCCACCTTTTTTGTATCTATCAATTCAATTGCTCTTGTGGAGGAAGTTATATTGGCGGATGTTCTAGGAATTTGTATATTCGAGCTCGTGAGCACCTCCCAGTTTGGTTATGCAAAGGTGTAGTTAAAACGGTTAACAACCCCATTTTAGACCATTTAATGACTTAACTCCCAACGAACCTAACAGATCTATATCTCCAGACTGCTGATTTATTCATAACACGACATTTTTGTTCACGCATTGTCTTTAATTCTTGTACATCAATCCCCACAGTACAATTTTAAAAAAGATGTACATTTAACAAAGGGATGTTTAAATTTATAACAATAAACACAAATATTATGATGACAAATCTGAAATTAACAAAGCTTTACGAAATTTTAACTAGAATTGTAATCGGATATAACTAGGGAAAAATCATGGTAGACAATAGATGGAAAAGTTAAAACTTCATGCTAAAAATACACACTTATATTTTCTGCAAACAAATTAAAATTAAGTGAAAGTTACTTTAGATTCTGTTGTCTGATTAATGACTGATCAAACCTATACTATATTTATTGTATGCTATTAGAGGAGTAGATTACTCTGATTCAACTTTAGTAACACAATGCAGCCTACATTTACAGGAGCCTAAGTACATGTCGTGCTTCTTAGTTTTGATTTAACGAATTTGAAAACTGGTGTAGGAAGGTTAAGAAAAACTGTTTAGATTACTTTGAATTCATTACATGAATAAACTGCATCCACAAAAACTAGACTACTGAACAAAATGTATATTTGTTCATTAAAATTTCTGAAACCATTTTTCATGTGAGGAAAGGGTAAATTACCCGTTCTAGTTACGTGATTTTGTATTTAACTCATGTGAAGAAGTGAACTCATCGTAGACGAGTCTAGTAAATTGATTTATCACTCGAGTTTCATCATTGCTCAAGAAAAATGAAATGAAAAAACGCTAGAAACCATACATATTTAGGAATACGGTTGGTCCTGATTAAAGCAGATAATATCTGAATCCACCTCATTATTATAAGCATGGTACTATTTGAACACAGCTTCAAAAAACAGATACTAGAGATGCCCTACAAAGAATAAATCTAAAAAACCACCGATATACAGTTGATTTTATCCTAACAAAACCAACTCCAAAAATCATAAAACCGGATACGGTACACTAGTTACAGTAATCGAGATGTCAAATTAACGAAGGTGGAAACGATACAATTACCTTACAGGTAACATTTGACTTTTTGAGTTTCAGAATAAGCTGAATCGATATGGAGTATAAATTTTTCTCTTTGTAAGCGACAACGATATCCAAAAGCCAATTAGAATATTTTGCAATATTTTCATTTGTGTACGTTGATTCAACACGGGACTATATTAAATAAATAAAAAGCAATATAAAGCTGGGGTGGAACAAAGATGAAAAAGAGAATATGGAGAAGATTTGTAGCTCAGGTGGGTGATTTTCATGGAGTTTTGTTCTCTGAGCTGGATGGTTTGGTCGTGGGGCTTTCATTATTTTTCTGAACAACACCATCAGCACAAACTTCAGATAGAAGTGAAGTGTTCGGATTTCTCCATATGCGTTTCACAACTAGTTCTGTACACCTCGACGTTGATTAGTTCTTATTGAGCTTAAATTTGTCACTGTTTACTTCCTTGTTTTGGTCGTGTTTCCCATTGGTTTGATTTTTGCTCCTAGATTTGTGCATAATTTTTCTGATTGGTTGATAAATTGGATCGATTTCAATGTGCTTGTTGATTGCTGATTGACCCGAGTGCCAGGCTTCTAAAAATTCCCTGGTGTTTTTGGAATCCCCTCTGTCCAAGATTTCCACATTTTTCCAATCGAATGAGTGTCCGCAGTTGTCCACGAGTATTGATATAAGTGAGGAAGTACCATAGCGTTTGACTGCTAATTGATGTTCATGCAGGCGAAGGTGAAGGGGGCGTCCGCTTTGCCCGATGTAGTGTTTTTCGTAGTTGGCACAATTTATTTTGTAGATGATGTTTGATTTGTCTCCCTTCGTTATTTCATCCTTGGTTTGCATAGGATTGATTGTAGTGATTTTGTCGGTTTGTGTGCCACACCTATGCCGAAGGTTTTCCGCAGTCTCGTTGCGGTTTCTGATATGCCTTTTATGTATGGTAGGGTGATCCTTTTGTTGATTTCTGTGCTTGAATTAGGTTCTGATGCTGCGTGCGGTTGGTATTTTTTGATAAAGTTGATTGGGTAGCCGTTCTTTTGAAATACGTCCTTCAGGTACTTCTCTTCATTTTTTCGTGCTGCCAGTGTGTCCTTGCCCTTTTGAACAAAGTGTGTACGCAGTTGATTTTGTGAGCTCTTGGGTTGTTGCTATTGTAGTTGAGAATTTGGTCTGTATGGGTCGGTTTCTTATACACTTGAGTTTTCAGCTTTTTTGTGTCGATTCTAGTGATTAATATATCCAAGATTGATCGTTTGTTGTTTGACTCCTGTTCCATTGTGAACTTGATGTCATCGAAGACGTTGTTGATCAGCTTGCAAGTGTTTTCCAGACCGTTTTCCAAACCATCCAGCTCAGAGAACAAAACTCCATCAAAAGAAAGATGAAAATAAATGCTCCCGACAAGCCAATAATATAATTAATTAAACAATGTCGTTCAATAATCCAGTACAGGTTTATGTACTCAGTTTTGAGTCAAACATCTATGGATGCTGGTGATACATTTCGGGACAATAAATCTCAATATACGAAGCTGAGTTCAAACTTGTGGTGCTAATCCATTGGGGTTTCCTGGCGTGGGTTCGAATCCCATTCCCGTCGGCAAATGTGCTAGGGTTGAATATATCACGAGTTCACTTAATCTGTGAACGAGAAACAAGATTTGGTGACCAAAGACCAGTAAGCTAGCTATTGATGCGTCCCAGCCGCGCTAATTAGAGGGAGAAGTCGATGCTCGGAATGGGGAATTATATTCTGCACAGAGTCAGAAACGAGCGATAACAACAAATACAATTCAAAACGTATATATACAGTACAAAACCGTCCTTGGGAAGAGTTACCAAATAGCATACTAAAAGACATTGTGTCAAAAAGTAAGCAATCATTTTACTGTACCAGTAATTGATGTTAACATTTCATTACATGACGTTCATGGGTACATTTATTTATTTATTTGAACACATAAATATTGGTACAAGAGAGCGCCAATATATATGCGCCAAACAAAACAATGAGAATTCGAAGAGAAATACAAAAAAAACTAAGGAGCGCAAAAGAAAAAGAGAACAATAACGAAGAGATTGGTGTAAGGTAGTGTGGTAGTAAGGAGGGAACGGAAAGGTACAATCAGAAGAAATCTTTCAGGTAGGGGAGAGACAACCACTTTTTATGAAGAAAGTAAAAGAAGGTTACAGCAGGATCGCCACTGGCTTCTATTCTGAGCTATATCTGATAACGTCTCTAGCCACTGTATTGCACCATCTCTCGGACCCAAACCAGGGAGTCGTGAAGGACCAACACAAGCCAGTCCTTTGCAGCTTTCTTTCATACCACGACACCATGTCATGCACTGACCACCTCTCCGCTTCTTCCAACCAGTCCTAGAGTCGGCAAATAATGCACGACGTGGAATTCTCTGGGATGACATTCGTAGAACATGTCCAAGCCACCGAAGTCGGTGTTTCAAGATGGTGACACCAATTGATTTATCATCTCTGTGCCCGAACACACGATGCCGAACCTCTGCATTACTGACATGGTGTTGCCACTGAATGTCAGCAATCCTTCGGAGACAGCGGTTGTCGAACATAGAGAGTCGTCTAACGTCCTCAACTCGGAGAGACCAGGTTTCACAAGCATAGAGCAAAACTGCTCTCACCGACGCGTTGTAGATCCGACCTTTTAAAGCCAGACTAACATCACGAAGGCGCCAAAGATGGCCCAGATTGGCATAAGCCGCTCTGGCTTCATGGGTACACCTGTCATGTAGCACAAGTAGTGCCAAATATTGAGATGTCACTTGTAACTGTCAGTATTTTCTAAATTAAAATAATCTGTAGTTTAGTAAGATTAACCTACTTAGCACTAAATGATGGTTCGAAGGATTTTTAAAATAGAATTTAGTCATAACAGAAATTACTTTTATGACATCTTAGTGAATCTTTAAAAACCACAAATAAGAATCACTTTTGTTTAACTTTTACGCCATTGCAATGGCTTGTGGATGTTTTTATAATGTACATAATCTATTCAAAACTTTTGAGCAGTTGTGTTAAAACAAAGAATATTAGAGAAATACAATATATCAACTCACCACAACTAATGGGCCAAGTCCCAGATGTGCAAAAACAAGAAACAATTTCAACTGTAATTCAACAGCCATATTATCAGGGAATTCACATCTAGATAAAACAAATAAATAGATAAATTATATACGATAAGAAATAACCAGTGATGAGTCAATTTACCTTTTAAATTTCTCCACAGACGACAACTTCGATGAATGTCTGTCCATATCAAATAAATCCCCAGAATTCAAATACAGTTTGACACCACAGAAGGAAGTGAAAAACTATAATTTTCAACAATGAAAAATATTTTCCAATTTATCGTTTAAGAACTCAAAAGTTTATTAAAGTATTTACAGATATGGTAACACAATGTAACTGATTACAGAAAAAACAACTAAGTTAATAAGATAAAAAAGATTTTTGTTGATCTATGCGAGTTCACAAAACACACTACAATATTATGCAATTAGTTCTTTGGTAAACTTTTGTAAAGTAACAACAGCCAGCAACGTAGGATGGATGAAATGGATTAAGGGACGGGAGAGAATATAATGTAATGGAGTAGAAGAAATATATGCAAACTGTTATGATTACGATAGACAGAATGATAAAAATGACAGTAATTAACAAGAAATAAATTTAAAGCAATCACCATAGCGATGATAATAACACTAATAATGACAACAATAGCTGCAGAGAATAGGAGAGTGTTATATTCCGACGGGAATTATGAATAGTAACTTTTGAGAATTATTTATGAACCAATACGATACATATACTTTTATGGTATGATTATTAAATAGATAAACTATGCATATTCATGTTCCTCTTATTAAAAGCTTTATTTTGACGCATAGAATATTGTTATACGATTGACCGTTCCTGAGTTCTGTCCAGTCTATTAATTACTGCCTACTACATTCACAGCCACTTTCGGCTATATCTTGCACAAATGTTACTTTCTATTTTATGAAGTGATGTGGTCTGTTTGGTTTGTATATAAACCCAGTATATTTGAAATACGTGATTTATATCGCAGAGGCTGAAATTGGTGTTCTGAACTTAACTGGCTGAGCTAGACACGAAGCAGGGCCAATAGGCACTATAGACTGCTCGTACGTGTTTTATGCGTCACTGGTCCGATCGATGATTCACCGCTGTCTAACTGGCAGTATCGTTACCTTATATATTGATAGGGCACAAGGCCATTAGTTATAACGGAGAGAACAGATTAAATAGAAAAGGAGTCAAACATTCTACTGAATAATGTTGAAATAATAAGACTAGTTGCAATGGTAGTAAATTAGGAATAAAGATCAGGCTAAAAAAATTTGAATTTTATATATTTTGAAGACGAGAACTACTGAATACAAGGTAGGATATCATTCAAATGGTCACCATGAATGTCAGGTGAACCACAGGCTTTTTCAAACACAAATTGGAGTAGAGACGTCAAATGGTGGTTGTTCTTTAGTAGAGTGATAGTCTACCATTATTTTGCTTGTTTATCACTTAGAAGACAGTAGTATAAGGGTTTACTGAGTAATCAGTGTTTAAAACATGTCTTACTATGATACTACCAGGTAGTTTGGAGCCATTAAAGGTTAAATTCTTTGGGATGTTCCATTCTAGATAATACCCTACCTACGTGCTGATGCAGGTACAGGTGGAAAGGTAGATATCATTGGTTGTAATTAACGAAGGTCTATGTTAGTTTATCTGACTAGCCATTTTGTTAAGTATGTGATAACTACGTTAGCAAATGAACAGGTCAGTGTAATTCTGAGCCTAAGTGAACGTTAATTCTGAACACTAACATCATCTCCTTTGATTGGGAGTTTGCCAAACAGTAGCTTGTTGCGGCATCTCAGGTGTATAAACAGCTGTTTCATCTAAAAATGAACATTTGCTAGTAAGTGACCACGTCGATAAATACAAACACGAGATTATTTTGAGTATACAAAACAACATAGGGACAATAAAAATAAATTACAAGACTAATCAAAATTGAAGTAATGAACAGAAAAAACCGTCACACTCAATGAATAGGTCATTAAAGGTTAAAGAAGATCAGCTAACCAAACAATTGTAGAGCTGACTGACACTAAATAAGAATTTTACGCTTTACTATGATATGCCTTTTTAAACCAAAGTAGTGCTAAAATTGTAGCATATTCATATCAAAACAAATTGTAGAAATCTAACAGAATCTGACAGAATCCCATCATATTCGTTAATATGGACGTATACCCATGATTTACTGAACGATTTTCTAGAACCAACTAACCAGTTCCGGATATTCATGAGACGCTCCAGAAAATATTTACTTGATAAAACTCATAATTGTTTTTGCCTTCAACTTCTTTCGTCAAGAAATTTAGCGAAAATCCCAAAAGATATACAATGATAATATAAACTACTTGTTTACTAACTGGAACACTTGATCAGTGTCAATGTGAACCCAGATTATTTAACTTATTCTGTTCTGTCACCTTAGCAAACCAATTTCTTAGGTGAAGTTCAACGTTAAGTAAATTGATATTAAAGGGCAGTGGTGCTGTTTCATGCTAACAACTTTGATTATAGGGTTGAGCAACATAAGCTAGATTTTCTTCAGTTTACGTGAGTACGTAAATCTACGTTGTGGAAGGCCAGATACACAATACCATTGACTACGAAATATCAAAATTCTATCTCAAAGTTATATCGACTCTCTGTAAAATTCATAAGTTAGAAATAGGAATAAGGCTCGATCATAAATATATATAATTTATCAAGACAATGCTAAATTTACCTTTAGAGCTTGATCATAACGTTTCATTTGAAACAAAATCGATAAGGCCGAATTTCGATCTTCATGTAAAAAAGAGAGTGAATTCGATTGAAGTCGATATCAGTTATAGGAAAAAAACACGCTTAGCTGCAAAAACTAGAAACATGATTGCTCAAACAATAGCATAGGAATTTAGGACAACGTAAGTTAGTAAATTATGATAAACTGTAATTACTTCTAGAAAATTTATATGACGTTGAACTTCAAGCAGAAGCGCGATTCCATAAAAATCGAAACTAAACGGATCATTGCTTTAATTAAGAAAATTAATTCTCATTAAGACACTTGAAATAGTTTCATAGACCATAGTACCGAAACAGAAATTTATTACGGTAAATGCGGTTAAAAGAGAAGACATGAACTAGAAAAAAACCTGACTGTTTAATTTCTGCGTCAAGTAATTATCGGTCCTGGGATTTTAAAAAAAATCCCAAAATTAACTTAAAGGCTCTATTCACAATTAAGGATAATTGTGTTTATTATTGAAGAAGAACTACGGGGAAACTGTCGGGGGAAATATACTAAACCAGAGAGACCGGTCAAGGACAAAGAAGTCAAGCCAATCACTGGGATTCAAGAATAGAGGAACAGATGAGTGGAATACTTCGAGGAGCTCTTGAGCAGACCAACTCCATTGAATCCACCAGGTATCGAAGCAGCACACAAAGACCTTCCAATAGATATCACTCCACCAACAGTCGAAGAAATCAGGATGGCCACCAGATAAATCAAGAGTGGGAAAGCAACAGGACCTGACAACTTACCAGCTGAAGCACTGAAGTTAGACATAGAGGTAACTCCTTGTTCAGATAGATTTGGGAGGAAGAACAAGTGCCAACGGACTGGAAAGAAAGGAGATCTGAGCAAATGTGAAAACTACAGAAGCATCACACCTCTATTGGTACCAGGAATAATTTTCAACAGTGTCGCTGAACTAGATGAAGGATTCAGTAGACGCCCAACTTCCAGAGATCAACGGACCGTATTCCATAAGGATCGGCTGTGCACAGACCAAATCACGACATCACGGACCACTGCTGAATAATCAACTGAATGGAACTCGTCACTATACATCAACTTCCTTGATTATGAGAAAGCATTCGACAGTGTGGATAGGACAACATTATGGAAAATTCTTCGACACTATGGAGTACCTGAAAAAATCGTCAACATCATCGGGAATTCGTACGACGGACTACACTACAAAGTCGTGCATGGAGGACAGCTGACAGATGCATTCTAAGTGAGGACTGCAGTCAGACAAGGGTGCTTACTCTGCCCCTTTCTCTTTCTTCTTGTGGTTGACTGCATTATGAAGACCTCCACATCTGAGGGGGGGCACGGGATAAAATAGACAGCTTGGATGCAACCAGATGATTTGGACTTCGTAGATGACCTAGCTTTTCTAAACTATACACACCAACAAACACAGGTAAAGACAGTCAGCGTAGCAGCAGCCTCTACTGCAGTAGGTCCCAACATACGTAAGCAATTAAGCAAGATTCCTTAATATAACACAACAAGCATCAACCCAATCACACTTGATGGAAACTTATATGTGCCTGGGTAGCGTCATAGATCAACAAGTAGGAAGTGATGCATATGGAAGGGCACAAATTGGCAAAGCAAAGATAGCACTCCTGTAATTGAAGAACATCTCGGACTCGAAACAACTGTCAACCAACATCAAAGTCAGAACGTAAAGACAGTTTTATTCTACTGAACTTAAACGTGGAGAACTACTACAGCCATCCTCAAAAAAGTACATGTATTTATAAACAGTTTTCTACGCAAGATACTCCACATCCACTGGACAGATACGATTAGCAAAAACCTAATGTGGTAGAGAACAAACTAACTCCTAGGTGAAGAGAGAATTACGAAAGACGATGGAGGTGGGTATGACATACAACGAGGAATTCATCAAACCGCATCACGAGGCTAGCCCTAACTTGGAATCCTGAAGACAAAAGAAAAAGATGGAATTTAATGTAGACATCAAAAGAATGAATAGCAGTTGGAAACAAATGGGAAGGAGAGCCCAGGACAGAGTTAGTCGGCGACCTATGTACCACTAGGGTTAACAGGCGTATGTTAGTGTGTGATTAGTGAGACAAAATGGTTTTTAAATAAGGACCGGATACAGAGAATTAAAATTTGATACGTACCATTATCCGTTCCATGATCTGGGTATTGTTCAAAAGCATTTTCATACGCCTTTACCGAGTTGTGTGGATCAAGTAGTTTGAAAAATTGCTATGAAAAACATTACATTTTTGAAGAAACCAAGTGAAAATGCAGCATTTGCTTACGAATAGAATATATTCCTACAAGATTTCTGAGTTGCAACCCAGTCCAAAAACAAAATAAGGGTACTGAGGATACCTTACTTAACTGCACTATCTTCAGGTAAAGTTTTCATGGCGATATTGACAATATAAATCCCCAGTAAGATAATTATTTACCAGACATGTAACCGAGTTACACAAATTGTCTTAAGCCTTCAGTACAAAACGTAATCCTCTGTAATATTATATCGTCCATTTTAGCGGGAATATTTTATGTAAGTTTTGAGGGTTACACTATTACGATAGTCGACTTTGTCAATACACACAATTTTTTTGGATATGAACCAAATGTTACTAACTGCAAATATTCTATGAGGCAACTTATCAATATACCATATTTACAATAATATATCCTAAATGTAGCAGTGCGATATTAGTAAAGTACTGTCCATTAAAAGTGGTGTGGGTAAATTGATACATAGTCATGATTAAACAGTAAGTCAGCAACAACGTAGAACTTTGTACGTACGTACATCAATTCAAGTTGCCATACCACATTAGCACAGAGATACAATTGTCGATTCAAACCCCATAGTGGTAGAGGTAGTAAGAGTATTAGCAGTAATCGGAAAGATTAGGGTTTGAAGATGTTATTCAATGAGTATAATCCAGTGAAATAAATTTAGAAAGAAAATGAGGAACATGAAGAATTCAGAAGATTTGGATTTAGGAGACCACAAAGAGTGGATAAACATGCACCATTGCAAACGATTTTGAGCCATGTCATTCAAGGTCTCTAACCATCGGTTGATATAGTCTCGCGGATCTCGACCAGGTAGTCTACACATACCAACATGGCTCAGTCCACTTGTCAGTGACTTCATGGATTTGTGCCATGTTTTGATCTGACCGCCCCTAGCTTTCTCCCAACCTACCCCTACACCCGAAAACATCGCACGTCGAGGCAGTCGGTTGTTGGGCATACGTAACATGTGTCCCAGTCATCTCAACTGACGAAGTCTCACTACTTCATCAATTCATTTGCCATCCTGACCTAGTACCCGTTTCCTAACAACTGCATTACTTACTCGATGGTCCCAGGATATACGAGCAATATTTCGAAGACATCTATAATCGAATACTAGTAACGTACGAGTATGCTCTACTCTTACCGTCCATGTTTCACAGCCATAAAGTAGGACGGAACGGACTGCTGCTTAGTAAACTTGTCCTTTGGTTGTTAGACGGATATCTCGCCTACTCCAAAAATGACGCAACTTGGCGAAATCTGGTCAAGCCTTCTGTATCCGTGCTGAGATTTCTTCACACACCAGACCACAGGGGCTGATGAGACTCTCAAGATAAGTGAAGTGGTCGACACACTCAACTACTTCACTCCCTATCATTGGTTCGGATGTCGTTGCAACCCAATCCTGAGGCAACATTTTGAGGGCGAGAATCGCATCCCGAACATTCATACATTGTTGCTTATGGTGGTCAGAAAACTGTGCATTTCGTCAGCGTCTTCTACCATGTTATCGACATACTTTAAGTCAACAAGTGAATCTCCCTGTAAAAGTTCAACCCTTGGAAATTTAGATGAGAAAAGTTTTATCTCTAAAAGCACGTCAACGACAAAGTTAACAGGTTAGGGTAAAGTTCAATAAAACTTACATCAGCTAGCTCTCGAGCAACTTCAAATTGTTTCTCACCCGTCGACTCCGGAGTAACTGAAAGAGCGGCCAAACGTAACTGTAATGCCTCTCTGCTTCGACCAGCTACATGACATAAGTCTATAAGACGTTGGCGTAATGATGTATCAGCTCGATTTCTTCGAAGGGCTGAAGTGGTAAAATAATAAGAAAACCCAAAGATGCACTTCCTCTCTGCAATAAAGAATATTTTACAAGTCCTATTGATAACTACAAGTAGACTACTTTCGAACTGATCACGCAAAAATGCATACCCTGTCGTGCATAGTGTATAGCAAGAGGGAAATCCTCAGCTTCTTCAGCCCAGTCCATTAGAGTAAGCCAAGTATTTTTATCGGATGGGTTTCTCTGAGCAGCTTGATATAAAACTGAAAAAGAATAACAACCAAAGAATCGAATTAGTTGGCAGAACAAAAACGTTGCAATCGGTGTGCTCACTATGAGGAAATTAGTCGGAAACATAATATAGCTGTAAATTTTAGAATAATTTTGTAAATTACAGGCCGGGAAAACAACCAACTCCTCATCCCTATTACTCTTATTTTAAATAAATGTTGAAGATCTCTCAATAAATTCGTAATCAACAAAGTGCTAATTATTTTTCAACTATAAAATGAACTGTTTAATTCGGTTAAACTCACTTCTTTGGCTTTTTCTTGATTCCCACGACGAAAACTAATTTCGGCCAAAACAATATATGGTTGGGAAGCTTGGGGAGCTAAATACAAGAAAGAATAACACTGTATGCCTTCTAAGTATTTAGTGCCAATAGATGAATGAGATAAAAGTAATAGCATCAGGAAACTTTTACGCAATGCATGTCATATTAACTATGAACTGAGCGCATGTACTTTCTTAGTATACAACATTTTACCCAAGAATACGCTTGAAATAGCTAATAAAAGCTATATGTGAATTCAAGATTTACAACTTAATTAGTAGATGTATCTATCAAATATTGCAAATAAGGACTGTTAAGCTCTTTTTCTCACCAGTTCTATGAATGTGTACTGTATTAAGAAGGCAATTCTACTTTTTTGAGCCAAAACTGTTTATACAAAAACCTAACGGTGACAAAGATGAACGTCTCCCCTAAATTCTTTTAAAGGTACGATTGGCTAAAAAAGCGATGAGTTCGAACAAAATATTACTTTGACGGACAAAGTTTTGTCTTTCTGATGTTCAGAATTTTCATGCTTATTAGTATTTTGGAAATTTTGATAACCTGGTCATATTTTATCCATATAGGAAAGCTGGTTTTTCCGCTTAGTTAAAGTGTTTTGAGATATTAACATACTCGGCAGTAACAGTAGAAATCCCATATCAAGAAATGTACTAAATCCAAAGCTTATAAATGATCATTTTGGCAGTAACATTAACGTATATTATCAGAGATTCTTTCATACATACCAACCTCACTACCGGATATTTCAACCACTAGATAGCACCAGTTAACTAAAATCTACTTCTTAAAACTCACAAAATACAAGACTTGTTAAGTAAAAATAATAAACTGTATTCTTTTTTACCTAACGAATACTGTATAAACATCAACTAATAAGTTTACCTGTGTCAATGATCTGATAGCAAATACGTTCAGCGTGTTCAAATTCATCATTGTTCAAATGTCTTTCAGCTTCTCCAAGATATTGTGCTAACTCAATTGGTAAGCGAGCACGTTTAGACTATTAAGTTTCATAGAGGTTAAATGTTAATTTTTCAGAACAGATAAAAGTTACAATAAGTGGTCCTCTTAATTTCAGTTTTTTCTTTCCAGCTGTATCAGGATTTTGTCGTCTTTTAGATCTCCTAGGTCCTAAAAGAAATATTTTTAGAGTAATTTTTTATTCTGAAAATATCACGTAAGTAAAAATGTCTAGAATGGCAATAATTTGAATCCAAGTGTATCAATAAAAGCAAATTATTCGATGAATATGATTTACTATAGCTGTAGTCTGGTTATAATTCTTTAGAAAAAGCTATTTTATTACATACGGCGAAGCGTTCTGAGATCGAGAATTACATTATTAATAGAAGAGTGGATATGACCAGCATTTAGTCACTCATCGCGAAAGCGGTTTGCGCTATAACAGGAAAAAAGTTCTAAAATCAAAATGAAATATAATCAAACAAAAGTGGGAACAAATAAGCCAGTTAAGGGCAAAAGGTTAATGGAAATAATCATCGACGAGTTTCATTTGTAGAGGTATATGGATGATATTTATATTATCAGTAATGGTAAATGTGCTTTAAATTATATTTTCCAGACCTTAAACAGCCATCCGCCAAGACATTTACTCCTGGAATGGAAAAACACTAAAAATCGGCTTCCTCAATATTGAAATGATGACAAGACCTGAAGGAATTCTAAGGATACGTTTACAAAGGACATTTACTTGATGTCCAACTAACAAACTCTTGCATGTGAATGCCTATTAGTAGAAAGAGGAACTGGGTTATAGCACTACCCCATACACATATACATAAATGAGATGGATTTATGGACCCAACTTCAAATATGAGGGACTAAATCTAGGAAAAATCCTTATCGGGCATGGATATCCACTAATATCTATTGACCTGAATATAAGCTCAAACTTACAAAATTAACAGCCACTGCACCAAAAATGGACATTAATTTCAATGGTGACAAAGCTCTCGGCACCTCAAAGAGAATTTTTAACTCTCTCAAAAAGATGTTTTTGCATCAACTTTGAGGTTGGTGTTCACCAGTAGGCCTATATTCAATGACAATCTAAAGAACAAGCTTTCGCATCCGACCACTTACATGTATATTTATAAATTCACTTGCTTCTGTGTTGCTACACATATCGGGTGTTCAATGGACATTCTACCAAATCAGATTCAAAAGGGTTATCCCCGATGGATAAAAAGAGGTAGTAATGGACCAACGAAGACTTAAACCATTTAACATCTTGTGAATACTCGTCATTCAACAAAAGCAGACACACCGCTCAAAGTCATATACACAGTGAGAAAAAAACAGACTGAAAGCTGTGAGCTTCCCTTTCCTATGGTTTGTTGAAGCTTTTCTCAAATCTTAGGAGGAGCCATAACTATGTACCCAGAAGAAACTTACTCAACATCTTTTACCGTCACAGTCTTTTATTTATTTAATCACATAAACATAGGTACAAGGAGGCACCAAAGGGATATGCACCACATAAATCATTCGACTTGTGTGAGGGCTGGGATACTGCCCTGGTGCCCAAACTGAAGCAGTTAACAGTCTTAACCTTTAATTTCCCAGTTATCGCCCTTTCGTTTTACACAATATTGAGTCTTGTGCATAGCAGTATCAAAACAACTTACCGGCTCAGGTTGCAAAACTTATGAATACTAAAATTACAAACAATAAGACGGGTGTTGTTTACGAAATTGATAGGACGAAAAGCGAATGTCCGGCACTTTAACCGGGTTGATGGACACCGAGGGTCTATCTAGGGGAGTTGGAAAACTTTAATTCTAAACCGATGGTGCGTATGGGCTTCAGTATCCTGAAGGAACAAATGGCGTATGGACCTATTGTTGGTCACCAGCTACCATGGCACTGTATCCGCTGATGTTTTTTATTCATTTATTTATTTGAACACATAAATATTGGTACAAGAGAGCGCCAATATATATGCGCCAAACAAAACAATGAGAATTCGAAGAGAAATACAAAAAAAAAACTAAGGAGCGCAAAAGAAAAAGAGAACAATAACGAAGAGATTGGTGTAAGGTAGTGTGGTAGTAAGGAGGGAACGGAAAGGTACAATCAGAAGAAATCTTTCAGGTAGGGGAGAGACAACCACTTTTTATGAAGAAAGTAAAAGAAGGTTACAGCAGGATCGCCACTGGCTTCTATTCTGAGCCATATCTGATAACGTCTCTAGCCACTGTATAGCACCATCTCTCGGACCCCAACCAGGGAGTCGTGAAGGACCAACACAAGCCAGTCCTTTGCAGCTTTCTTTCATACCACGACACCATGTCATGCACTGACCACCTCTCCGCTTCTTCCAACCAGTCCCAGAGTCGGCAAATAATGCACGACGTGGAATTCTCTGGGACGACATTCGTAGAACATGTCCAAGCCACCGAAGTCGGTGTTTCAAGATGGTGACACCAATTGATTATCATCTCTGTGCCCGAACACACGATGCCGAACCTCTGCATTACTGACATGGTGTTGCCACTGAATGTCAGCAATCCTTCGGAGACAGCGATGATCGAACACAGAGAGTCGTCTAACGTCCTCAACTCGGAGAGACCAGGTTTCACAAGCATAGAGCAAAACTGCTCTCACCGACGCGTTGTAGATCCGACCTTTTACAGCCAGACTAACATCACGAAGGCGCCAAAGATGGCCCAGATTGGCATAAGCCGCTCTGGCTTTCACTATACGTGCATTGATCTCATCACTCATGCCACCACCAGCACTTATGCAGCTACCCAGATACACGAACTTCTCGACTACTTCTATCTGCTCACCATCCAGAGTGAGTACAGGATTAGAATCCTGCCAGTCTTGTAGAAGTACTTTGCACTTCGAAGGTGCAAAGCACATACCATACCTACGGACACTGATTGCCAACTGATTAAGTGCGGATTGCATGCCTTGGGCATTATCGCACAGTAAGACAATATCGTCCGCATACTCAAGGTCGAAAAGTCTTTCTCCAGGCAACAGATCCACACCACCATTACTTACATTCATCAGAGCTGTTTCCAGAATGTCATCGATGGCAAAGTTGAAGAGGAATGGTGAGATTGGGCAACCCTGCCTAACCCCACTGCTCGAATTGAACAATGGAGAAAGGTGGTTGTATGCCCTCACTCTGCCTGAGGTGTTTGTATATAGGGCTTTTAGGATGTTAATAAACTTCTCAGGCACACCCCTCTTCAATAGACAATCCCAGAGAACAGTCCTGTCCAACGAATCGAAGGCAGCCCTGATGTCAAGAAACACTACGATTGTTGGCCTTTGATAAGTATGGCGGTGTTCTAACATTTGGCGGAGGGTGAAGATATGATCAATACATCCTCGACCAGAACGAAACCCAGCCTGCTCCTCGCGAGTCAATCTTTCTCGGGTTTTGAACAACCTACGAAGTATGACAGAAGTCAATAGTTTGGAAGAGCTTCTGATAGTTACCAGATGCAGCTGCTGCTTCCAGCTCATTAGCACGCTTCGACCACCAGGCTTCTCGGTCCTTACGCAAGCTTTGCCCAATTTCCTTACGTAACATCCTTCGTTTATGGTCAAACTCACGGTCACCCGGAGTAGACCGACGGGCTTCAATGAGTTGTAAGGAACCAGAAGAAACCCAGTGCTTATAAGCGGGACGTTTCGCAAACCCACAACTGACTGTTCCCGCCATTTTCATGGCGTCATGCAATTGCAACCAATGCTCATCTATACTTTTCGGTGGAGTGGTAGCTAGCCTAGAGGCTAGCTCGGTTCGATACTTACTTGCAACAGAAGTTGCAACCAGCTTGCTAACATCAATCCGTTGGTGGCGGTCACTTCGTTGTCCACTGAAAAGTAAGGCAAGATTGGCGCAGACCAAGGCATGGTCAGAGTCCAGATAGGTACTCCAAAAGGAGCGGCAGTCTTGTACACAACCACGCCAGCGGTAGCTGATCGCGATGTGATCAATCTGAGTCCAGGCTTGAGATGCAGAGGGAGGACGCCAGGTGGCACATCGGCGATGACTGTGCCGAAAGTTAGTGCTAGCCAGAAACAGGTTGTGGTCTGTGCAAGTTGCAGTAGACGGTCCCCGTTATCTGACCTGCGACCAACGAGTCCCCATCGGCCACCTAAACGACTCTCTTCTGTGCCTAGACGCCCGACCTGAGCATTCAAGTCTCCGGCTAGTACTACAATATCTGTCGAACGCACTTTCTGGAGAAGAACAGATAACTGGTGGTAAAACTCATCCTTGATTGCATCCGGGCTGCAATCTGTCGGGGCATAGGCGGAGATGACGAAAAGACATCGTTTCTCACGCCGATTTCTTCTCACTTTGATGGAACTTTCTAATCTAACAGCACATAACCGACTGTTAATGGGGATCCAATCGACTAGTGCTGCCTCAGCTCTAGCGCTTAGTGCGACACCAACGCCAGCAAGACCAGACGAAGATGCCACAGGGTCCCCGGATAAGCGCACGTAAAACAAGCTTTTCGAAGCGACAGATGGAGAGCGAATTTGTAGTACTTCGCCAGAGTCTTGAATACGGGTCTCGGATAGACAGCACACATCGATATTAAGACTTTCCAAAGACATAGCCAGCCCTATCTGTTGTCCGACCTGCATAAGTGTGCGAACGTTGAAGGCAGCCAGTTTGAATGGTGCACGTGGTTTCAGAAAAACTGCTTCAGTACTCATATTCGGTGGTAACATACAATTTTCAACCGGACAGTGACTCGAGAACGTTTAGATACAGTCGAATTTCCACCAAAGACGAGCCGCTGTATAAGTATAAAAGAGGGTGAATAATGTGGAAAATAATAATAATAATAATAATAATAATAATAATAATAATAATAATGACAATAATAGTAATGATAATAATTTGAATCATTTGATTGTTTTTCGGAGCGAGAAAAGTAGTTTCCATAGATATAGAGAGTTCATCATTTGTGTGTGGGCTGTGATACTGCCCGGGTGCCCAAACCGAAGCAGGTGGTTATCTTAGGGGGCCACACCCCGAGCCTTTGACCTAAAGGTCTAACCCACAAGGCAGTGGAGCATCGTAAGGAGATGCAGTCCCATGGTAGCCAGTGACCAATGATTGGTTCATACGCCATTTGTTCCCGCAGGATACTGGAGCCCATGTGCACCGAAGGCTATGGGTATGGCCACCTAAGAAAAACACATGCTTCGGTTTGGAAACCCGGGCAGTATGATAGACAACTCACAAATCAAGTGATTTGTGCGGTGCAGATGTATTCGGTGCCCCTTTGTGTTAATATTTATGTGTTCAAATAAATAAAAAGCATCTTTATTTTGAGCACCGTAACTACAAAATGAATTCAGATAGTCGCAATAAACTTCAAGCCACTACTGAGAATTTTTAACAACGAACTATACGAGCAAAGTGGAAAATCTAAATGACTCTTAAAACATAAAAATAATACAAAGGTAGTAATGTAAACAGTTGGTGACTTTGGGAGTTCAATACGAAATGGCTGAATTAGGAATAATCGTTTTAGGTCATTGGTCCGTAGGGTAGAAAATTTTCTGCTCCAAATTTTGATTCAGTCAGGACTTAATCGGACAGCCGCGGTCAGTAGCTAAAGACCTTGAGTGATATGACTTAGAATCGGTCACTGTGGCACAAATACACTTACTCTTTATCTTCCTCAAGATACTGAATTTCAGTATCCTTTCATATGTCTTCCAACTCTGAGCTTTAAAACAATATTTTCTTTGCTTATTCTATTGCATTACCACTGTTACACTACTTCGGTCTTTTTATCTTTTTGTTTTATTTATTTCGCCTAATCATCCTAGTGTTGTGTGGCAGATAAGGCCGACAGACGTCTGTCCCAAGCTCTACGTTCGTATGGACTGGACAATCTATTCTGTTGTTGAGCCAATTAACATAAAGCACTCAATCACCTCTGCATAATAGTTTAACGTTGCTTTAAAATTGACAATTTGCCGAAAAAATAATTCTTCATGGTTGTGGGAAGCACATATTCTGATATTACGCATTCCGATCATGTATAAGGTCCCGAGGGTGTGTTCAGCTTTGAGACAATTATAGTATTGCTTCATTACTTAATGTCAGACTACATTGTGAACAAGCGATTTCAGACAAGAAAATATCGAAACTGATTAGTAATATATCCCCATGGTTCTTACATATAATACAATAAGCGTATATTTGTGGTAAAATTTAAATAAATCATAAGTAAACTTACGTGTAGAATATTCAGAATCGTCGTTTTTGCTAGAACAGTCTGAATCACTACTGTGGCAAGAATCATTATCCAGAGTAGTAGAGTGGTTCATTTCACGCATCAAATCATCAAAACTGATAATCCCATTCAAATATCGTGAATAAAGAGTTTCATCAGTTACGAGACCATTAAGAAACGAAGAGATATATGTTGAGTCATCTGCTTCCGAAATGTAACCACAACTAGAATCAAATTCCTATCGAAGGAAAATTTAGCCGAACTCTAGACAAAACATACATTCAGATCGATAACTTCGAAGTCTTGAGCCAATTCCAATTCACCACCGATACCCCAATCATCACTATGTTCCGCGTCCATTTAAGATAAAACAATTTACTATACAAATGGAAAAAGCAAAAGTGATATTGATGTGTATAATTTGAATTAAGCATAGCAAATGATGTTATGACATCATTCTCATTGTAAACATTAAACAGATTGTGGGTAAAGAACGTTGTCTTTATCCTACCAACGTTGTGGATATGCACCTGCAGAACGGTGCCCAACCAGATGATAACTTTAATAGTTGAATTCACGAGTCGATCTAAGCTAGATCACCATTGAAAACCTGGAAGCACTAGACGGCCGTTTTGTTCTAGTATGAGACTGTTCAGCAGTGCTCATCCACGATCCTGTATGCGGAACCTCCGACCTTCGATGTCACGCGCGAAGCTTAACTTTAACACCACTGAGCCGGCATCTGATGGTGTTAATGTCTAGCCTTGATCCATGGTCTTGCGCAACCATACATCGTAGTTGCGCACCGTTGAGGGGTCCCGTGCTAGAACGGAACGGTCGTTTAATGCTTCCATCTTTAATGGTAGTCCAGCTAGGATCAAGTCACGAAGTCAACAAGTGGAATTACTATAGCCTTCAAAACCCCCCACTCAGACGATATTTGGTTGACATTAAATGCAAGGTCATCCACTACTATGGTGAGTTAAAAATACAGACACTCATTTGCTAAAGTTGATATACAGACTGCGAATGGTGTCTTAGTTTATTTCCATAGTTTACCTGGTCACCATGTCAGTAATTTGACGGGCGGAAACACCTTGCCACTAAACGCATAAAAGCTTGAAAGTTAAGTACAATAATTCCATTTATGTGTTGTGGAGGTGCATTGAAAGGGAAAGAAGGGTTTTTTATAATTCCGTTGAGATGGATGTGGTTAAGATGAAGGCTGGAAACAGTCAGGCTCAATATCATATATTCAGGTCACTGAACAATATCGTTTCATCCTTTTCGAATAGGCTTGTCTTAACGTAAAATAATTAGACACAATTGAATGTGTCACCCTACACGTCTAGTTGAGTAAGTAACGTTTCAGATTTGAGTTAATCCTTGAGATTTAATAAACTTCAAGCTGTTCTGCAGAACGTGTCAGCTATATAAGACTTGAGTGCAAACATTATGCAGCTGATGTCTTATTGTGATGGACGCAAACATACTCGAAAACTTGATATTGGACAAGCAATTTGGTACTTTCCTTTGTCATCTGAAGAGGACCTGTGGAAGTTGGCTGCATGTCTTCAGCAGGATATGACTATAAGCTGCATACCAGATGGATGATAGTCCTAAAACGTCCGTGTGCTACATTTTGTCATACGTCATGATACCCGAAGTTGACAGCCATTTTATCACCTTACTTGCCACTTCATCAAAAAAGCGTCTCAGAAGTGGTTTTACAGGAGCATACGGGGAAAATTCCTTTTTCTAGTCATTGTTTACGCCAGCATCGCCGTTCTTAACGTCATCCGTCAACGAAAAAGAACTTACAAAACTATGTGAAATCATGATGCAACGGTACTTTCACAGAGAGATTATTTTAATTGGGAACAGTAACGCTGCATTTTAAAAAAAGCGCAACTGTCTATAGGCTCAACTTAATTTTCGGCTGAGCTTTTTCTTATCATTCACTTACTTTCGTGTAGACAACTGAACTTACAATTAAATGCGTAACGATCGTAGCTCGAGCATTTGTCTGTTACTAATCTAATTGTAAACTATAATATTACCTGTAGACCATAAATGCCCTTAATCCTACATCGTTTTGAATGTGATCGACTGCATTCACAGAACATAGGAGAAAATTGTGGTTAGTCGAAAGAAAGACGGTTAACGAAAATCTAGACAATATAGAGCAACAAATGGGTGAACTTTCACATTACTTCCCCATGACAGCGAGAACGAAGATTTGGTGTGTTTTCCTATTCTTTCCACTAATGTTCTAACGGAATGTCTCCTTCAGTGATTGACTCGGTATATTTTAGTATCTTCTTAATCATACATAAAATCATCGGCCACATTACTTGCCTTTCAATGAGAATTTTCTAACAAAGATTGCTTATGGATAAACTTTAGTGCCTCAGGAATTCCATGGTATTTATTCGTACCAAAACGCTGAACAAAAACTACGATTCGAATTCTTTGGAGGGACTTAACTCGGAATCTTCGCTTTCCGGATGTATGCTTATCTTGAGCCTAACATTTTGTACGACGACCCCCACCGTTTCCTAGTAGTCATCTGTTGTTAACATCCACCACTCTGATGTAGTCTGTTCTATTGTAACTAGGGTGTGAACGTCCTTTTCCCTCCAACATATCGTGTTTTTCACCACGTTAAACATGATTTTACTATTATTATTACTTCCCATTGATGAGCTCCTCAACTAGGAGCTAATCACGGATTACCACTCCACTCTGATTCATGTGTCACAAATAGGCACGGTCGCCATTACCGCACATCATCATATACTTCTTGTCTTTCTTACTATCATCGCCGTCTCTCCTATTATTCTTACAACCTTGGCCTCACAGTGCCGGGATTACCAATTAGTTGTCTAATCAATCCATTCCTGAAAACATTGTCTTCTATCAGCATTTGAGCAATCACTTTAATATTTCAATATTGTAACTAACCAACCTCCTGTTTGGCATCATGTTGGCTACTGGTATCCAGAAGCCTAATACCCTGAGACAAACTAATTCACTCAAACCACATGATATGGAAATCCACAAATAACTCTCGGAGTGACTAAAACTGGTGCAGTCAACTGACTGGACTTTTATTTAGTGGACATTATCAAATACTAGGAAAGGTACTGAAAAACCAGGAAGTGAGTGCAAAGAAAGCAAGCAATTAATTCAATACAATGGCAGAGGTATTGAATATTGGATACCTTGACCACATTTTCGAACTGCGTATGAGTTTTTGCTGTGAGGCAAATTTTACTTCAAAATGACAAACAGAATTAAATCCACCAGGGCATTAAGCACAAGCAGTATACCGGCCTATGCCTTGATACGTAAACTTCATTTTGAACTATCTCCAGATAAACCGTAAGTAAACATAAACTATTGGTTTGGATAATTGTGATTCAAAATCGTACTTTCATAGAGTTGTATATGTACTCTGAAAACCGATATCGAACGTCTCAGGCCTATTCATATATCTAGAAACAATTTAGCTGTCCAAACGTTTAAATCCTATAGTTTAATAGAGCTATATGATATATAAATTATGCTGTGATTTTAATCAGAACTTAATCAGTTTTTATTCATTAGTTAAAAAGTCGTCTTCAAATGAGTAATTTTCAAGGATGAACTGCTAACAAATAGTTGTTAGACACCGTCAACATGTAATCACTGACTAAACCTTCCACGACTCTTGGGATATTGAATAACTAGATGAAAATGAACCATACAAATGATTCAACTTCATCTGAAGTTTATTTTGTAAAGCGTTGATGAGAAAATCGTATAGGTTAGTGGGGATAGAATGTGTGACTCCCAAAACTCTACTTCTGCAGATGATGCATGATAAATAACTGCCTCTGAGAGTTTGTTTGACAGAAGTAGTTGGTTCACGGTAGAACGACACATTGACAATGTGTTACGTAAATAAGGGGATTAACAGTATCAAAGATTTGTGCTCTTGGTTGTTCTGCTTTGTTCTATTATGGTTTCATGTATTTTAAGAAATTATTAGCATGTTATCTCACAAGAATATTCTAGCCATATTCTAGTTTTATTTATGTAGGGTTGAGACTCACATTCATTTTAAAAACTACAAGTTTCGATCACATTAGGTTTACTCCAGATGCTATGAAATGATGTAAAGAATGCATTTTATCTGCTTCTTCAAAGACCTAGCTCATCATATCAATAAATCAAAGGTGTTTTATAACCATTTGTGGTTAGTTTCAGTGAAAGTTTGTTTCCCTTTATTCATGAACGATTTATATACATCTCTTCTGAATTGATAAGAACGACATTCAATCTTCAGTTTTAAGGACGGCATGTGGATTGACCGGTGTTGATTCTTCCTTTTTTTTCAGTGAAGTTCCTGTTTTTTCTCGCTGGTGTTCGTTGATGGGTCCAGTATTACTTACAGTTTTTGATACCTTAAACAGATCAAAAATACTTATGACTGCTGAAATGGTTTCATATAACTACCTACAAACGCAAAACTGCAGCGCCAATTACACAGATGGTTAATTCGGCACATCGGAAATTCTTACTATATGACTGGCTCTAAAGACAGAGATATCGATAAACTGAACTGACAAAAGACAACAGAACCCAGAGAGTTAATTTTCCAGGTCATTATGAGTTGTGTTCCTGGATCAGCACCATGAGTAGACGAAATGTTAGGTACATTCTGAAACCGGAATATAAGTCCATCCCACTGGCCACAGAAAACTATTGCTACTGTTTATAAAAAGGGACAGAGGTCGTTCTGCAATAAATGCAAATCAACTCCATAAATTGTAGTGATGAAATTCGGTTTGGCTGGTAGTACTGTATATATAGATATGGAATCATTTACAAGAAATATTCTGAGTTAGTATAAACACTGCAGGTAATGAGCTTAAAATCTGTATATATAGTCCATAGTTGCACAACACTAAAGTTGTGGGAAATAAGAAACCGAACGGTTTTTAGGCAAACTTTTAATAAGATGACTAATTCCCTATCCTTCGAAATATTTTGAAACTCACACATACATACGGACTCTAGATAAAAAATAAATTCTTAAACTTAATGATAACACAAAATTGTTGATCAAGATCCCCTATACCAGTGCTTATTGCATCAAAGCTTGCAAAAGAACAGCATCACCTTAATAAAAGTTTGTTACTCAACCACCACCTGTCATACAAGAGCTCATTACAAGCTATTGTGTTAAAAGACGTCAAATAGTGTTTGTCGGGGTTTTCATTATCCCCATCTTCCTGCACATTTACCACAAATATTTTTCTAAGAATGAGAATTTTAGTATGGATTTGTTTAAATTCACCCTTCACTTGGAGATC